CACGGAACCAGGGATTGTGGATCAGTGTCTATCCAGAGATATATTCCCAGCACTGCCAAGGCTTCCACAAATCCATGTCCCCCAGTGCCACATCCACAGGGATTTTAAATCCCTCCAGGAACGAGGACTCCACCACTGCCCTGGGCACCCTTTCCATGATGGAATTTTCCCAGATATCCAACCTGAACCTCCCCTGGCACAACTTGAGGCCGTTCCCTCTTGTCCTGGGGCTCCCTTGGATCTCCCCTTCCCTGTGCGCATCCAGCTCCGTGGAAAAGGGGGATCATTTCCCTGAATTACGCAGGAGATGCTGCTTTATTCCATGTTTTCCACCACAACATAAAAATGGAGCTGCTGCACAAGTCACACCCCAAATTCCAAAAAGCTAAATGGGATATTTCTGTGGTGCTTCAACACCAAATTCCTTCGAAAGCATCATTTAGCTTTGATTTATTTATTTTCCCTATGGATGATCCTGACACAGAATCCCAATTTTGTGTGGATCTCCTCCCTCTTTCCTGGAGAAGCCCCAGGATATGGCTCTTAACAGACTAAAACTTCCATTCCTGGAGTCAGGAATTGTCTGATTGAACACTCAGAGACACAACAAACATCATAAAAGCGCCCGGGGGATTTTGAGCCTTAACCTTTAAACTGGGAATTCTGTGCAATTCCTCCCCCTTTGCCCTTTTCGCCAGAATTATCCCAAAATCACCAGCGAATTTTGGGGAGGGTTTGAACATTTTCTGCTTCAAAAAGAGGGGGAAGAAAGCACTGAAATCCAAAAACACACACAAAACCCCCACGATAATCAAAGCTGGACCAGGCTCAGCAAGGCTGCAAGTCAAGACTAAAGAGCAGGTCCTTCCTAAGCCTCAAGCTCTGCTTTGTCACCAGGGAAAAAACAGATGATTCCCAGAAGGAAAACCGTGCCTCTCGTTTTCCAGGAAACCCTCACCCTGGCTCAGCTCCACATTCCAGGTCCCTGCTGGGATTTAGGGATCCCGGTTCAACAACAGCAGCAGGAAATTTCCCCTTGAGCCACCAAAGCCTCAAAAGAAGCTCCTAAAAAAACCTCTGGGAAAGGTGTAACTGGGAATAAACTTCCAGAAAAAGACACAACAGTTCCAAGTGTCCAGGAGCAAACACGACCCTCAGGTCCCAGCACCAACTTGGGCCGATTTCCAAAAAAACACCTTTATTAGAAATACTTCTGTTCATTATCATAACTTAATTAAAATACCCCCAAAAAACTCCCTTTTTAAGGATCTTTTCTCCATTTTGGCAACTTGCTGAGTGCCTTTGTCTCTGTTTGTGCTCCCAGGACAGTTCTGGCCCCTTCACCTCCGCGTGTGTCCACAGGTGGCTCCAGGGAATGTCACGGATGCAAATTCCATCCCCTGGACTTAAAAGCTCGGTGGAAGTTCCTACTGGTCCCAGACTTCGCTACCAGTTTGCTCCCAACCCTACAAACCTGTGGGATGACATTCCTGCCTCCAGGAAACCCCATTCCAGCTCTCCAAGCCTGACCCGAGCTGCCTTTTCCACACCTCCGGCTGCTTTTCCCTGCGGATTCCTAAAAACCACAAAGGGGTTGCACTGCTCAGGGTATTCCCAAAACCTGGATAAATCCTTTATTCGGCGGGAGGAGAACCCTGCCGGGTTATTTCCAGGGCCTGTTCTGGAGGTTGGTCCTGCTGAGCGTGCGGGAGCTGAGGGATCCCGCGTTGGAGCCGTGGAGGCTGGGGCTGCTCCTCATGGACGTGGGCTTGGAATCCCGGCTGGAAATCCCACGGCTCAGGCGGCCTGGGGGAGGGAAAAAACAACCCACAATCACACACTGGTTGCCCTGGGAAGGAGTTGTGGACACTCCATCCTGGAAGTGTCCGAGGCCAGGACGGGCAGTCGGAGCAACCCGGGACAGCGGAAGGTTTGGGGTTGGAACGGGACGATCCTTAAGGTCTCTTCCCACCCAAACCATTCCAGGATCTTACTGGCAGTGTCCAAGGGAATGTGCTCCTCCTCCAGGTAGTACTTCAGCTTCTGGAGGTCGTCTGCAGAGAACCTCCACTTGTTCTCAGCCCGCGTGGGTGGGACTCTGGGAGAGGTTTTCCTTCGGGCGGATCCCGGGGGAGCCGGGGCCTGGCAGGAGAGCGGGAGCGTGCCCGTGATCAATCCCTCCGGGATCTTCTGTGCCAGGACCTTCAGGCCTGCAGGGACACAGATCCACGTTAGCCCAGCTGTGGTGGGATCCACCAAGCACGAGGGAAACACCGGATGGAGCTGAAGATCCGAGAAGTTCGGATGGAGAAAAGCGGGCAGGAGGGGAGGGGGGAATTCTGTCCCTCTGGGGAACAGAATGGAGGACATGGAGGTGCTGGAGAGAGTCCAGGGGAGGCCCCAGAGCTGCTCCCAGGGCTGGGGCCCCTCTGCTCTGGAGCCAGGCTGGGAGAGCTGGGAATGTTCATCTGGAGAAGAGAAGGCTCCAGGGAGAGCTGAGAGCCCCTTGCAGGGCCTAAAGGGGCTCCAGGAGAGCTGGAGAGGGACTGGGGACAAGGGATGGAGGGACAGGACACAGGGAATGGCTTCCCAGTGCCAGAGGGCAGGGATGGATGGGATATTGGGAAGGAATTGCTGGCTGGGAGGGTGGGGAGGGGCTGGGATGGATTTCCCAGAGAAGCTGTGGCTGCCTCTGGATCCCTGGGAGTGTCCAAGGCCAGGTTGGAGCAACCTGGGCTGGTGGAAGGTGTCCCTGCCCATGGAACTGGATGATCCTTCCCACCCAAACCACTCTGGGATTCCATGATCCAACTTTTTCCAACCTCCAGCTCACACAACCCTTGCTCTCCCCTCTGTTTCCCCAGGAGCCTTCAGGGGGCCCTTCCCACCCCCAGGAGCCTTCAGGGGGCCCTTCCCACCCCCAGGAGCTCTCAGAGGGATCTTCCCATGCCCAGGAGCCCTCAGGAAGCTCCTCCCACCCCCAGGAGCCCTCAGGAAGCTCCTCCCACCCCCAGGAGACCTCAGGAAGCTCCTCCCACCCCCAGGAGACCTCGAGGAGCTCTTCCCACGCCCAGGGAATCTCAGGGAGCTCTTCCCACAACCAGGAGCCCTCAGGAAGCTCTTCCCACTTCCAGGAGCCCTCAAGGAGCTCTTCCCACCCCCAGGAGCTCTCAGGGGGCTCTTCCCACTCCCAGGAGCTCTCGGGGGGCTCTTCCCACACCCAGGAGCTCTCGGGG